TATATATATATATATATATATATATATATATATATATATATATATATATACATATAACTTGCTAATGTAAATATAACTACAGAAAAAGCATGCTCGTGCTTCTTGCTACTCGAGCAATCGTACCTGAGTAATTTGTGGTATCATTTGTGTTGTAGGCACATTAAAAACGCTAGACAATGCTTGAACAGGAAAATGCACTGTTTGATAGACAGTTTGTCCATTGCTAGCAGTGACCGGCACTTGTACAGGCACAGTCTGCTGAACGTGTTGCATAGGAAATTGGAGGGGCCTAACTTGTACGCTTTGCCCTACAATTTGAATTGTATTATGCCGTTGCTAAATTGTTACATGTTTAATAGGTGTACAATACGTACCTGTCGGCAGCTGTACAGTCTGCCCGGTGATATTTTGTATGATGGAAGTAGGAAAGACGTTGGGTGCTCTTATCAAACTGACAGGTTGGGGAGTAATAATAGTCTGACCGTTCGCCAGTTGTACTTGCTGACTAGCGAGTTGAACCTGTTGACCATTAGCTGTAGCAAATTGCATAGTTGGCTGAGTTTGATGGTGCCCTCCTGTCGCCGACATAGCAGACGATGGTATGAAGAGTGCCTCCTGGCCGTCGATATTAACCGTTTGCATCTGTGGTATTACGCTGTAACTAAGTTGCTGTTGCGGCTGTTGCTGCGGTTGTTGCTGGGCCTGCTGTTGCTGCGTTTGTTGCTGTTGCTGTTGCAGCGCAGCTTGAGCCTGAGTACTAATTAACTGAGCACCCTAAGGTTGTTACATAATATATTTAAGCACGTTCGGTTATTTATTCGACGGTAAGTAATTACGGTATATACTTACTTGCAAGAATTGTTGCGGCAACGACTGCACAGAAATGGTTTGGGCTCTCTGTTGGTCATGCTGAGGCTGCTGAGCTTGTAAAGGCACGAAATTTTGCAGCTGCTGCAACGTAATGACTTGTGGTTGCTGTTGCGCTTGTTGCTGAACATCTTGTTGTTGTTGCAATTGCTGCAGAACGTTTGCGCTTAAAAAACGAATCTGAGGTTGGGCAGTTTGCTGTTCCATTTGCTGTTGCTGTTGTTCAGCCTCGTCTTGCTGTTGCACCTGTAGGGGATCATGGTCTTCGATCTCCTCCTGCGGATCAACGTAATACAGTTTGTTAGCGTTCAATGATTTTCACTTCGCTCGATTTCCCGAAAGATTTATATCCTACCTGAGAGATGTTCCTCCCATCCACGCTCCGTTTCATGTTGAATATATCGAACGTGTATTTCCTTGAACCAAACCAACAACCCGAACGTCAACGTTAATTTTACGTGTAAAACACTCTTCTGCTAGGAATTCATCCTTCGTTGAACGAAACCGAGCCGTCTACTTAGTCCGTGGTACATGAAAACGCTCGCTCCACGAGCGTTTGATCTGAAAATTCATCTTTTTCTTAGAAATCTTTTATGGTAGGTAGCCGTCGCGGCGTCGAGCACTTATTAAAAGAACATATATCAGGAGAGTCGGTTCGTTAGTTCTCGGATCGAGGAGAAACGCATCTCGCGCGATCCTTATACCCGAAGCTCGGACATTGGAAAGAAGACGCGGCCGGCGCCCGGCTGGACGTCAACGAAACCTACGACTACACGGGGCACGGGGCGTACTCTTAAGAAGCTTCACCGACTGAAATGTATATCGACACGTGCAAAGACCACACTCCGAAGACAAAGAAGGCCAGAGAGCACTCCTCGAGAACCCGATCGAGGACCGCCTCTCTACGCCCCTGTTCCTGCCGCCCCACCCGCCTCTCGAAATATCACACGCCGTGGCAAGGACGCGCATACCCACCGACAGTGACCGACACACAGGCGCGGAGGCGCGCGACGTATGTCGTCACACCCGCCCACTCGGTCGCGCTGGTCGGCTCATAGCCCGCACACACTCTCGCATACCTGCGATAACGGGGAAGCCAGCCTCACGATGCAGCCTCCACCCACTTTGCGCATGGGACTCCACCTAACTCGCGAACTAGCACGTGTTTCTCCGCGGAGACGTCCACACTGCCTCCCGCCACTGCCTTCTACCCTTCGGTCGAGCGAATATTTCGCCACCTCTGCTACACGGTTGATCGGATCACTCGGGCTCGGGCTCGAGACAGTCTCGAGGCGGCCATATTACACAACACAGGGAGCCGTCGTCGACTCGATTGTTCCTGATTCCTGTCGCGTCTCGATTAGGAATCACGGACAGTCTATTATAGCGGATTCATCCCTTGAACAGCACAAGGTTCGTTTTACCACCGGTTATCGTCGTTAGATGCGTGTTTCACGGATCTACATATTCGAGAGCTGCACACAAGCACACACGCGCACACACGGAGGCAAACGTACGTGGCCACACTTACACTATGTACATACATATACTATACACCGAGTGGATGCGCGCGAGCGTACTACCCGTCACCCTGAATCACCCCGAACGATCCAACCAATTGATCAGCGATTCACAATTTTCCTTTTTTGCTCGATGTTTTCCATTTTCTTGGCGTTGCCGTCATACGAAACGAAACCGAACGACGATGCGGACGATGGTACGACAGAACGAACGAGCCCGAGTCGACGCTACGTTCGAAGTTGCCGCCAAAAGCATCGACCGTGGATGCGGTCGAGCCGATATCCCCGTTCCGGCGTGGCAAAGCTTCCTTCTTCGTAACGAATCGAAAGCTTCTCTTGATCTCGATAAACCGTGGGGACCGTCTCTTATCTTAGAACACCTGAAACGCACGCGATCGAATTTCCAACGTGATTCAACACGTGCACGTATTCCGCGTCCACGACAACGTGTGTTGGTCGGCCGTCCCTCGCGAAAACAGGGCTACGAATACCGCTACGAGACGACTACTTTCGCCGTGGGGCGGTACACAAGGTGGCAACGTCGCTGTCCGCGAGACCAACGAACGAGCGCTCTGATTGGTCGCGCTTGGATCGCGATTGCCGGCGACGAGCAGAGGTTCGTTAGACAGGGGCGTACGCAGCAGCCGTCGGACGCCCACCCCGTCAAAGAGGGATAAACGATGCACACCTCCTACTTTCTCTGGCCTTCCTTCCCCTCTTTTTAGCAGAGCTGCCGCGCTCCTCTTTCCCCTCTTTCTGCTCCCCTCTGAACGCAGTCTGCTTTCAGCCTTTCAGCCTTTAGCCTTCAGCCTTCAGCCTTCAGCCTTTCAAACTTTCAACCATCCATCCTTTCAGCCCTCGCGAGCCCTTGTACCCCTGAGAATTTGCCTCAAGTTGAAGTCAAGTCTCAAGCTGTACCGGAGGTCATGACATGGCCAACGGCGTGGCATCGTTGTCGGACATGTGTTCTTTCTTTCATTCTTTTACCTTTGCCTTCGTCGTCGGGGTCGTGATTCAGGAACCGTAACGCCTGAATTGCAGAAACACAGAAGCGAGAAGCACTGCTCACCCTGTTATGCCGCCGCCCCTTTTTCTTACCGCATTTAACAACATTCCTCTCCTCTATTTTTTTTTTTTTTAAAGGTTTTACAGTACACTAGTGTCAATTAATGTTCTAATATATTTGCACCATGTAGGCTACACGTTCGTGCGATTCGTTTTTTAAGGTTATGTATACAACTCTGTCGAACTACTTACATACATTATGTTTTTGTAGGTATTAATCAGTCACTCCACTTTCCGAGCGATGGAAATACCAATAAAATCCAAGAGTCAGAAATTGTGATTTAGTTTCTGTTTTTATTAAATAAATTGTTTCGATTTGATCAAATTTCTGTGATCGCTGAATAGGCAGTCGCGACGTTAAAGTCATGCTAAGAGCGTAAACTTGACAGTCGGGAAAGCCAAGGAGTGGTAAAATGCATATATTCAGCCTAATGATAGTTTAATTAAGGGTTTTATTAAGTCAATGATAATGGCTAATGATAGCGAAATAAATTAATGTCCAACACAGGATAGGTGTACGCGTTGTCGTGGTTCTGTAATGTTAGAGATAATGAATTAAATAAGGAGTTATTTAAATAACATGTATATAGATCGGTTTTCTAACATTAACAATGAATATAATTTATAAATAAAATCATCTCATCGAATACTAAAAAGTAAGGTTATACTACGGCATAAATTAACCTGTAGTACAGGACTGTTGTGTGCAATGTAAAAAGACAAGACTATTCGTGGTACATCGTTCTTGTCGTAATTCCGCACCGTGTTCCATTTTCATAGTTGCAAAATAGTTTGAATGATTATGATCGTTAAAATGCCTGTCACCTGTAACGGGTTGCAAGCGTTTCTGTTACTTACACATGAAAGTTTACAATGCGAGATCAAATGTATAATTTCACATAGATCATAACCGGTATAATCGATCATCGACGTATGTATCTTGATCGTGGTGCATTTTGCAGAAAACGTATATACAGACACGGCACAGCGATAACGTAGTGCGTTTAAGACGCTGTATACAAGATATTTACATTAACGTTTGAAATTCTTACGACCTTGCCGTTTTCACTGTTAAAAACTAAGCAGATACCGTCTATGTAGTTCTTGTTTGAGCTTGGAGGTTGATTGCGATTAGAAGTTGGTGTAGAAAGTACGAAATATCAAGTGATTCTGGAACACTTGTACTAAACTGGGCTATACTCGAACGTGTCTGGGGGTGAATTAAGATTATCTATGATAAACAGTTTATCGCGTCATGGTTTCTGGATGCCTTTAGTCACGCATCGCAAGTGTTTCTTTTCGTACGACGCTGCATTCTTTGAACCTCTTCACAGTCCACCACCCGATCTTTCGACGCTGATTTGTTTCTTCAATATTTCTTGTTCGTGTTGCGCCTCCTCCATTTCCGCCATTCTTGCGAAACGCGAGTACGCCACATGTCCGGACTTGATGGCCGACATCATCTATAGAGAAAAAAGCAAAG